TGTAAATTTGGACAAGTGGGTCTTCGCTCTGGTTGCCCAGGCTGGGTGCGTGCCGACCTCGAGGCAGTGCGCTCGAGATTACATCTTGACGAGTCCAGTCGCCGATCTCTCGAGCTCGACCTGTGATCACTCTTCTGGTGGAATACCCTCATATCGTTCTACTAACATGAATATAACAAAAGAGTAGTATAGAAAGGTGTGTGTAGAGTCCTTCTCTGCCGCTGGAACGTGATGTCGCGACACTTTTGTACTCTCTTCAGCACAACGTACTAGGTATTGCACCGCGCATGCGATTGGCGTCAAGACAATTATCGCGCTTATGCTCCTGACCCAAGAAGGTGCAGTATGATCCAGCGTCCTTCCAGTGACCGCGCTTCAGCACAGACACTGGCTTTGCCACTCACAGCGCGCGTTAGATGCGACACGTAAGAGCAAAGAACTTCTCCAAAAAACAAAATATATATGAACACCACAAGACAAGCGACACAAGCCAAATCAGACATGCTGAAATAACAGCAAGATTTTCGAAGAAGTGCTATCTGTCTATTCTCCACGAGAGAATAAGATCCTGGATGGCTAGTAGTGCCTGCTTATCTCTCGACATCCTACAAAATGTAAACATCTTTTGCTGAGCTATCAGCTTGGTGGTTTCACTTCTTTATCCAATGTATAGAAAAACAGACTTAGGATAAAAACAGACACCTGTCCCCCTTGTGTTTGGAAAACAAATGTAAAAAAGGTAAAGATAATCGAGTTTGAAGTGAATTTTTCCACCAGGTTATGTTTACAACACACACAATCCATAACATTTGCTGACTGCTTCCACCACTCAACACAAACTCAAATCGAAAACTATTGTTAAAAAAATAAACCACCCATCATGGGTTCCAGAGCGATTCTGTCAGCCTTGGTACCCCAGTAGCCTGGGATAAGTCCCGTGTGCCACCACGCCCAGATAATTTTGTATTTTAGTAGACGATGGCGTTTCCACCATGTTGGTCGGGCGGTCTTGCACTCCTACCTCCGGTGATCTGCCTGCCCTCGCCTCCAAAGTCTGGGTTACAGGGGTGAGCCACCATGCCAAGCCCCTAGGTTATCTGTTTTAACCAACTCTTTTCGCTTTGAGGTTTGTGTTGAGGCGGTGGAGACAGTAAGGCAATGGTTCCTGGATTCGTGTTGTTGTAAACATAACCTGGTTGGAAAAATTGCACTTACCCCCTCATATCTTTACGTTTCTAGCCCTTTTGTTTTCCCAACCCAAGGACCGTTCCTGTTCTTTATCCTAAGGTCTGTTTTTCTCTGGATAGAAGACACCTATTATCCCCAAACTGGTTGTTAACATTTTTATATTGAGATACGGACACTGAATTGCTCTTTTGGGAAAGTTCCCTCTCTTCAACTCTTTGTTATTTCAGCCTTGATTTTTCTTTTCTTTTTGTTTTTTTTTTTTGGCGACAGACGTCTTGCTCTGTTCGCACTCGGCTGGAGTGCAGTGTCACGATCCTCCAGCTCCTGCACCCTCCCCTTCTTGGTCAAGCAATTCTGGCTGCCTCCGTCTCTATTTTATCTGGCCTACGTCACATCCTATGCCCAACTACTTTTTTTCTTTTTTATTTTTAGTATGACTGATCGGTCTTGCCATGTCTGACCAGAGCTGTCTTGAACCTCCTGCCTCCAGTAATCCTACCTGCCTCCAGTCTTTCCAAAGTTCTCAGATTATCAGGCATGAGTCACCGCACCGGCCTGATTTTTTTTTTTTCAATAAGTCTGTGTAACAAACCCTTAAATGTGAATCTAAGCACCAGGCTTAATATTTCAGCCATGGTGAAATGCACACTGAAAGGCAAGGGAGGACCGACACAGTTAAAGTGACTCATGTTAGAATGCAAACTCCCTGAGGACAGGAGCTTTGTCATGATCTGTCTACAGAACCAGGAATATTTGTTGAATGAATGTATGTTGGGCCTGTCTCCCCTTACTACTGTGCTTGTAGCTCAAAAGTGTTTCCACTGATGGTACAGAAATCCTTCTTTGGAAACTGGATCTCATGTTCATTATGAGTGATTGGTTCAGGAATAATTGACGTAACATTTATGGCGGTATCGTCTGGATTCGTGTCCTTTGTGTAGCTTTCGGTGCTCCAGGGAGAGGAGGCCAGTTTTGGAGAAAATTTGCTGATGGATAACTTGGGAGGACTCTCTGATTTCTCTACTACTTTTCTTTCTGGAAAATATAATTAATCACGAGTTCAGATGGAAACAAAGATTCTTCCTTTTGACTCAGGGCTGAATTGTAGCAAGGAGATTTTTGAAGAGTTATTACCTGGGGAAACGAAGAGTTTTGCTGTAGAAGCTGCAGTGCCAGTCTCATTTTCTGCAATACACTTGAACTCCTCAGAGTCTTCAGGAAATGCTTCTGTGATAAGGTGCAGACTTCCTGTGGAAAGAGCAGAAATTCAACTTGATTAGCGTATTTGGATGCCCCAAGTTAACAGACGTATAGTGTGGGAGGATGTTGGGGACAGTAGGTACTAGGAATAAATAGATTATTCCTGAGATTTTAAAAAAATCCATCTGATTCAGTATTTTCTCTTCTCAGTGGGCTCATAAAGATAAATATTAAAAATACAACCCCATTGGCTGGGCGCGGTGACTCACACCTGTAATCCCAGAACTTTGGGAGGCCAAGGCAGTGGATCACCTGAGGTCAGGAGTTTTAGACCAGCCTGGCCAGCATGGCGAAACCCTGCCTCTACTAAAAAATTACAAAAATTAGCCAGGTGTGGTGGCGGGCACCTGTAATCCCAGCTAATCAGGAGGCTGAGGCAGGAGAATCATTTGAACCCGGGAGGCGGAGATCGTAGTGAGCTGAGATCCTGCCACTGTACTCCAGACTGGGTGACAGAGCCAGACTCCATCTCAAAAAAAAACAAGAGAAAACAAAACAAAAAGCCCCATTAATTGTACATTTCAAAATAGCTAGAAGAGAGTAATTTGAATGTTTCTAGTGTAAAGAAAAGTAATTTAGGCGATGCATATCTCATTTACCCTGATTTGATTATATGAATGTATGAAATTATCACCTATACCTTGAAAATATGTACATCTAATATATATCAATAAAATAAAAAAAAATCTAAAACAATCCCATCATGGTTCTTATCAACTGCCTCTTAGACATGTCTGTTTTCTCTACTAGACTATGAAATCCTTGAAAGCAGGGATTACATTTTATTCCTTGATTTCTAGAATTCGGTAGCTTTAGTCCTATAGAAACATACTCTGAACTGAACTAGAAATTATCACTACCATCAGACTTAGACCTAATGTTAATGCAGAGATGGCCACAGTGTGATGGTCATCACACCTTCTTCTTGGACAGTGAGCAGTTTGGATGTTTGATGTCAGGACACCTCCTTACTGCTTCTGTGTAAAGTTCATGAGTCACAAATCCTAACCCAAGTGGGATTACAGGGAGAATGCATATTCTTTGAGAGCAGGGACCTTGTCAGTCTGGTTCATTGCTGTCTCTTTAATACCAAGAACAGAGACTAACCATAGTCTATACTCAGTAAACCTATGTTGAATTAATAAATATATGAATAAAAACACTGATAAATCCCAGTTACTTTGTTTCTTCTGCTGTGTCAGTTCAAGAGTTGGTGTAGGGGAGCCTCAGAAGAGCTCATGAAGGCAAGAGTGACTTAGGGGACAAAGTCTTCTGATGCTAATGTTGATTTAGTCAATTATCAAGATTTTAAGAAATTACACTTACCAGGAAGGGATGATAAACTTCTGAAAGATAAAAGAAGAAAAAAGAGAGAGAATTTAAGTGATGATAATTAATTTAGTTGGGAGAAGGGGCCATATGTATATGAGAAATACCCAGAAGCAAATACAAAATTGACTAATCTGGAGTCCCAGACAGTAAGTAAATTCTTCAGAAACTCAGAAAAGGTACATAAAGGAATGAATAAGTGGCAGGGTACAAGAACTTGATTTTAGTTCTGCTTCTACCACTAAATTCTTCTGTGACCTTGTGAAAATTATTTTACTTACCCAGACTTTCTTCATCCCTAAGATTAGACCGATTGAATATATCTTCTCTGAATATGAACACTGTTGAACACACTAATACTGAGATGGCCTTTTTCACCCAAGAGAATCATTTTGTCCTAATTTCTTTGATTAAAATAAAATGGAAAATTACATTATAAAAATACTGTAGTATTACCGTAGAAAAATATATGAAAGGTTAATAATGGTTTTCTCTATTTTCAATTTTTTTCTTCGTGTTATGTATTTTCTAGGTTTTTTATAAATTTGTATTACTTTATTTTCAACAATACAACAAATGTTGTTTAACAGAAATATCATATCCTTTTTGTAATAAGATTTTTTTCCTATATGTGATGTGTAAATATTTAGTTATTTTGAATTAATATTTAAATGAGTATATTTTCTTCATTTGGCATAAGAACTATCTTGGATTTGAACACTGGCTTCAGCATTTACTAGCCTTGTGTCCTTGAGCGAGATTTTTTTGTATTTCTAATTTTAGTTATTTAAAAATTAGGATAATAACATATATTTCAAAATGGTTATGTGAGGATTAAATGAGAAATTATTTATAAAGTATAAACTCATTGTTTAGCATAAGATAGATCATTATACTTACTACCCTTCTCCAAATTAATTATCTTGTAGGAAAATTACCCAATAAAGTAAAAAGTTATACATCAGTTTTTTTATGTTTTACCCTTTAAGAAATATGTTTATTCTCATTTTTTGTTTATATGTCAAGAACTCATGAAAATAAGATTAATTTATGATAAACCAATATTTTCACAGCTATGAAAATTACTCTTTCATCAAAACAGTTTTCTCTGTTGGTTATTGAGAAATCATTTTGATTTGAAATAATGATTGTTTAACAGCACAAATCTTTAAACCTTTAAAAAATCAGCAATTAAACTTTAAAACATGAAGTAGACTTCAAGGTTAACTGGAATTAAAAACAATTGAAAGGCTTATCATGATACTTTTCCTCAGAATCCGTAAGTCATCTGAGTTGGTTATCTGCACGTTCTGTCTGTACCAGTGAACTTGAACTGTGGCTGTGTCCTGGATTCTGCATTCAAACATGACTGGCTGGTCTCTGGTTGTAGAGATGTCTTGAAGATGCTGAAGAACAAACACAGAGTTCAGAGGATGGAAGAAACTGTTATACCATCTACAATGATTTGATATGCCATTTGCAGTAAGAGTGCATTTTTTTAATCATAATTATTGACAGCTGACTGTATCTTAAGGCACTGTTGGGCATTCTTTTGGGCTTTGTAATGTGCTTTACAGTCAGGTGTAAATTATTTTTGTCTTCATAGAATTATATTTAATGAGAAAGTTATTATTTCATTTCACCAAGAGCCATTTTTTTTCAAATTAGAAAACAGATTAGTTGAATACTCTTTCTTTTGTTATATTTGACTATTTTGTTGAGTACATATCTAATCACAGATTTAGTCTTTATTATTGGTCACAGTAGCATGGGCAGTACAGTAATCACCCCTTATCTTCAGGGGACACATTCCAAGACCCCCAGTGGAAGCCCGAGACCATGGATAGTACTGAAACCTATGTACACTGTGTTTTTTCCCATACATGCATACCTGTGATAAAATTTATAAATTAGTCACAGTAAGAGATTAACAACAATAACTGATAAAATAGAACAATTATACCAATATACTGTAATAAGAGTTATGTGAATGTGATCTCTCTCTCTCTTTCTCTGAAAATATCTTATTATACTCTATTCATCTATTTTCAGACCGCAGTTTACCGTGGGTTGTTGAAACCACAGAAAGTGAAACTGGATAAGGAGGTGAGTACTATATTGTAATTTGTTAAGAGCCCTGAATCAGGGAACTTGGGCCAAAATGTTAACTCTGCCACTGGCTGATTGAAGCACGTTATAGGAACTTGGAAAGGACTATTAACCTCTCTGGAACTTAGGTTCTTCGTCTGTGAAATCGGGCTAGCAAAATGTGTGGGGTTTTGAGGCTCATTTCACAAAGGTCTGAAAACTTCCTGTAAAGAATAAGAGTTACACAAATATATAAAAAGAGTTTATAGCTAGTTTAGTATCACAATGTATAAATGAATGGATGGCATTTATGTTAAATTTACCCCTTAAATCCTGATCTTTCTCCTCCCTCTACCTGTATCCCCAGAGTACCCTGGAATCTGTAATGATATTTCAGATTATAACTTGGCTGTGAGACCAGAGAGTGGGAATCTGAGGTCTTTCTATCAGGTGATAGACCAGCCTAACTCTTCAGGCTTGATGCCCAGAGGTCTCAGGGCATCTTATAGGGAAGGAATGCAGCAGGAGAGACTTGTAGAAATAACAGACATGTACCTGACAGCATCTGTTGAAAGTGAGCTTCCAGAATCAATAGCAATGTCACTTACTCTTAATGACATTGTTTCGTTTGTCTCCCATCCTGTATCTGGTACAGATTAAATCCCTGCCCTGCATTTCATACTTTGAGCCAGCATTGAGCATTTATTCCAATTCTGCCAGGTTTGGTAATTGGGAGACAGAGAGCTCAGAGAAGGCTCAGCCCTAGTTTTGGTTTGACCTGGGTGATTCAATTGTGCTATTTCCAGTGGGTGGGGGGGAAGATAGTGATTCCTGGCTGTGACCTAATCAGGACTCAGTTACTACTTTGCTTGTTGACTTCAGAACGGCATTTTATGGCTAGTTAAGAGAATTTGACTCTATTTTGAGGTCAGGCAAAGCAGTATCCCTAGAGGGGACAGTCTAAGCATTGCCCTCCAGAGCTGGAAGACTGCCACAGAGCAGAAGTCAAAAGAGCACAGGGTAAACCATGAATTGCTCTGTGACACTGAGCAAATCATTTCACCCCTTTTCAGCTTCATTTTTCTCATGTATAACACGATAATAATCTCTGAAATCCTTTCTGGTTTCCCCTTTTTTTCTTCTCACTGCTTCACTAATGTCTACAACTTATCTATAAAATCTAAACTCCATCATGCAATATGGAGAAGTTACCTTGGTAAACACAGAGGGTATTACACAAGTGGATCCTGACAGGCTGCTGCAGGGACTCTACATCTGGTTTAAGGAATAAAAGAGAATATGATGCTGTCACTCATACTGTCAAAGCCCTGAAACTCAGGTCCATGGTGGCCAAAAACTAACGGGCTCAGTTCTAGCTGCTACTGACCACACCTTAAGTTTCCTTTATGAAAAGCATGATACTTCTAATTTCAGTGTCAGTTTGGGTGTTTGCTCCAGTGCTACACTTTCTTCTTTATCCTCCAGCATTCCATTAGCTGAGATGGAGAAATACAACACTGGGCAATTGTATTTGGGAAATGCATATTGGCAAGTATTTAGATACTATATATTAAACGTTTTAAAAAACTTTTAAATTTTACTGTTTTTTTTTCTTCCTCCATATAGTTGTTCTTCTTGAATCTTTTGGGTTTTCAAAAAAGCATCTCCCTCCCCCGCCTTTTTTTTTTAAGTTAACAGAGAATTCATTCCTCGGATAGTTGGAATACTCTCTTATGGGAACAAGTTCCTAGAAACCAACTGTCCCTTATCGTCTGGCACACAAAGAAAGGGCCAAGTCATAGAGCTACCATGGAGTTATTTCTTAAACCTGTGGCTTTCTTTCTTGTTCTTTTGAGGTCATGCGGCTAGAGGCTTTCTTCATGTATACTTCTTAAGAAAACTGCATTGACTCCTTTTTCTTGGGCATTACTAGGACCCTCTCAGAAGGCTTAAAACTGAACTTACCCTCCAGGTATTAATATACAGTGGTTGAACTAAGGTAGAATAACTTGATCTGTTGTTGGAGGTTTCATTTGCTGGGGAGCTGATGGTCAGAGAAACTCTAGTGGTTTTCTTCTTTATCCGATGAGGGAAACAAAACCAAACACCATCAAGTGAAAGAAAGATTAGAGGCAACTTGGATAGAAATGCCTCAGTGTATACACATTTGAATGTAGCACATATTTTTACCTATAATCCTTATATTTCTCTATATTTGCATAATAATTTTAATACTTTTTTTTTTTACCAATTATTAGTGGATTATGGTTCTGAATAGTTTCACTTTAAATTTGTTTTGTTTCAGTCTGGTAATCGGGGGTGTTATGAAATACTTACGTTGTCTAGAAGAAATAACCTGTAAAGCAAATAATCACTTCAAAGTTTCTCTGCAAAGTCTTAGGTTGTTTTTTTTTTTTTTTTTTTTGGTATTTTTTAAAGTGGAACTTTCACTATATTTACATGCAACAAATGCGCATCCACATGAGATTCTGCACTTACTCTGAAATTTCTGTAGCACATTTCAACCACAATCCCAGAGATAAAACTTTTCCTTACTTCCCTGAGCACCTGCAAGAAAGAGAAAAGATAGATTTGGTCTAAATCTCATTGGATTTTAATACAATTTAGTTCCAGTGTGTTGTATTTACACTCGGACTAGCAGCAGGTGTTGGTTACAGACAGGTTCATCCAGAACATCTGGATTCTTTTTTTTTTTTTTTTAGATGGAGTCTCGCTTTGTTGCCCAGGCTGGAGTGCAGTGGTGTGATCCTGGCACACTGTAACCTCCACCTTCCGGGTTCAAGCTATCCTCCCACGTGAGCCTCCTGAGTAGCTGAGACTACAGGCTGCACCACCATGTCTGGCTAATTTTTGTATTTTTAGTAGAGACAGGGTTTCACCATGTTGGTCAGGCTGGTCTTGAATTCCTGACCTCACGTGATCTGCTGCCTCAGCCTCCCAAAGGGCTGGGATTATAGGTGTGAGCCACCATGCCCAGCCCAGAACAACAGAATTCTTAACTCAGGATGGAACTACTTTAGCATTCTCCATTTTAGAAATCCAGGTGTTTGCCTTTATAGAGTTATAGCACTGGTGCCTAGAGGAGGTATTGAGTCATTTCTCAAAACATTATTTCAGAGGGCATAAATTAGTATCTGTGAATGTGTGTTTTGGTCTGAAGTCTTCAGAATATTTGTTACGGTAAGAAATATATTGAAACACATTGCTATGCTTACTATAAGGAAGGATGTTATCTTAGTCTGTTCAGGCTTGCTATGATACCCTTTAAAATACCTTGCTGGGTAATTTGTAAACAATAGAAATTTATTGCTCACAGTTCTGGAGGCTGAGAAGTCCAAGATCAAGGCACCAGCAGATTTAGTGTTTGGTGAGAGCTGTCTCCTTCATAAATAGTGCCTTGTTGCTGTGTCCTCACATGGTAGAAGGGGTAAGTGAATTCCCTCAAGTCTCTTTTATAAGGATACTAATCCCGTTCATGAGATTGGAACCCTCATGACTTAATCACTTCCCAAAGGCCCCATTTCTTAATGCTATCACATTTGAATATTAGGTTTCAACATGTGAATTTTGGGGGGATATCAGCATTTGGACCATAGCAGATGTTGTCAGTGTTGCTATTATCTCCATGATGATTTACTAGAAAAATGTATTTCAATTGTTAGTACCAGGAATAATTGAGCTTCTCCGATGATACTAGTTTAATTTTTCCTCATAGACACTATTAGTCTTAATATTGGTTGTGTTGCTATTTGTGTTAGCTACTTGAAAGTTTAGAGCTCACTTCAGAGCCAATAATTTTTTAATTTAAAATTTTATTTTCCTTAAATTTACATTTAAAGATTCATTTTCAGTTTAGGAAAACTTCTAAGTGTGTTTAGAACAGTCTAGGTATATGAATTTAGTTTTTATAAATTGCATACAATTTAAATACATGAAGTATTTCTAACGAAAATTTAGCAACTAAATTCCAATGTTTTAATGCAAAATACAGTTTTAAAGACTAAGTACCCAAAAGGTAAAATTCTTATTATTATTTTTGAGATGGAGTCTCGCTGTGTTGCCCAGTCTGAAGTGCAGTGATGCGATCTCTGCCCACTGCAACCTCTGCCTCTTGGGTTCAAGCAATTCTCCTGCCTTAGCATCCTGAGTAGCTGGGATTACAGGTGCGCCACCACACCCAGCTAATTTTTTTTTTTTTTTTGTATTTTTTGTAGAGAAGGGGTTTCGCCATGTTGGCCAGGCTGGTCTTGAACTCCTGACCTCAAATGATCTTGCTGTCTCAGCCTCCCAGAGTGCTGGGATTACAGGCATGAGCCACTATGCCCGGCTGCAAAATAAATTTTTATATTGATTGCATGTTGAAATGATAATCTTTTATATATGTTGTTTTAAAACATATTATTAAAATTAATTTTACCTGTTCCTTTTTGTAATTTTAGTGTTACCATTAGAAAATTTAAAATTATGTATTTGTTGTTCTCTTTTCTTATTTTTTTTTGAGACGGAGTCTCACTGTGTCTCCCAGACTGGAGTGCAGTGGCGCGATCTTGGCTCACTGCAAGAAGCTCCACCTCCCGGGTTCACGCTATTCTCCTGCCTCAGCCTCCCGAGTAGCTGGGACTACAGGCGCCCGCCACCACGCCCGGCTAATTTTTTGTATTTTCAGTAGAGACAGCGTTTCACCGTGTTAGCCAGGGTGGTCTGGATTTCCTGACATCGTGATCTACCCGCCTCGGCCTCCCAAAGTGCTGGGATTACAGGCGTGAGCCACCACGCCTGGCTGTTGTTCTCTTTTCTGATAGGCAGTATATTTTTATTAGATGGCACCATTCTGAACCATGAGCTTTCCTAAAGGGTTAATAAAACTTTCTCAATATCTTCTAAAGTGACTGGTTCATTCAGTTTTTCTGTGTCTCCAGAATAAACTTCGATCGTTTATATTTTCCTCAAAAAATTTTTTCAAATATATTTTCTTTTTTTTATTTCCAAGTTTCATTTTAAGTTCTGGGGTGCATGTGCAAGATGTGTAGGTTTGTTACATAGGTAAACATGTGCCATGGTGGTTTGCTGCACAGATCGTTCCATCACATAGGTATTAAGCCCAGCATCGATTAACTATTCTTCCTGATGCTCTGCCTCCTCCCACCCCTCATTCTTCGACAGGCCCTAGTGTGTGTTGTTCCCCTCAATGTGTCCATGTGTTCTCATCATTCAGCTTCCACTTATAAGTGAGATCGTGTGGTATTTGGTTTTCTGTTCCTGCATTAGTTTGCTGAGGATAATGGCTTCCAGCTCCATCCATGTCCCTGCAAAGGACATGATCTTGTTCCTTTTTATGGCTGCATAGTATTCCATGGTGTATATGTACCACATTTTCTTTATCCAGTCTATTATTGGTGGGCATTTAGGTTGATTCCATGTCTTTGCTATTGTGAATAGTGCTGCAATGAATATACATGTGCATGTATCTTTATAATAGAATGATTTATATTCCTTTGGGTATATACCCAGTAATGGGATTGCTGAGTCAAATGGTATTTCTGCCTCTAGGTCTTTGAAGAATTGCTACACTGTCTTCCACAGTGGTTGAACAATTTACACTTCCACCAACAGTGTAAAAGCATTCTTTTTTCTCCACAGCCTCGCCAGCAGGTTCTCTATTCCGTTCCATTGGTGTATGTGTCTGTTCTTGTACGAGTACCATGCTGTTTTGGTTACCATAGCCTTGTAGTGTAATTTGAAGTTGGGTAGTGTGATACCTTCAGCTTTATTCTTCTTGCTTATGATTGTCTTTGGTATTTGGGCTCTTTTTGGGTTTCATAGGAATTTTTAAATATTTTTTTTTCTAATTCTGTGAAGAACGTCAATGGTAGTTTAATGGGAATAGCATTGAATCTATAAATTGCTTTGGGCAGTATGGCCATTTTTACATATTGATTCTTCCTATCCATGAGAATGGAATATTTTTCCATTTGTTTGTGTCATCTCTGATTTCTTTGAGCAGTTGTTTGGAGTTGTCCTTGAAGAGGCCCTTCACTTCTCATTAGTTGTCTTCCTAGGTATTTTATTCTTTTTGTGGCAGTCATGAATAGGATTTCATTCATGATTTGGCTCTCATAGAGCCAATAATTCAACAGAGATTAGAGTTAGGATCTCCTAAACTTGTGACCTGATACTTTTTTTACACTTTATCTATGATGATTTATTTCCTCAAACCAACATTTAGGTCACATGGCCCCACAAAGAACTTTTATATTATTTCCATGTAGGAGAAGTTGATTGGAAGATGTAGGGTAGCCTAAATAACAAAATATGGTAATTTCCAGAAAGTCATTGGTTTATGGAAATAGAATATCTAAAATTGTAACTATTCGAGAAAATTTAGGCCATAAGTTTGTATTACACAACAATGCTTTAATGAAAACAAATTAGTTCCCACTTAAAAGTCTTTTATATATAGTGTTTGTTACTATTATTAGAACTAGATTTATCTAATCTCCTCCTAATCTCAATGTATAATCTCTTAATACTTGGTGGCTCTTTTCAGTCTTTAAAAACCCTTTATCATCTTGAAGTTGTATTACTATATCAGGCTTAATTTGCTTTAGACTAAAATTTAGGTGATATAAAAAGATTTATTAATGCTACTTCATGTTTTATTTGTTAAGGTAGATAGTGGCTAAAGAATGTACCTTTTATTATTATTTAAACTGTACATATATATTCTATTAACTCTTTCCTATGTATATAGTATTTTATAATAAATTCATAAGATTAAAATAAATCTGTGAACCGAAGCTGCCTTTTGTTTTTGTAAGAGTCAGTTTTTTCATTTTCTTCTTCTTCTTCTTCTTCTTTTTTTTGAGATGGTGTCTCACTCTGTCACCCAGGCTGGAGTACAGTGGCATGATCTTGGCTCACTGCAACCTCTGCCTCCTTGGTTCAAACTATTCTCCTGCCTCAGCCTCCTGAGTAACTGGGATTACAGGCACGCGCCACCATGCCTGGCTAATTTTTTTGTATTTTTAGTAGAGACAGGGTTTCAACAAGTTGACCAGGCTGGTCTTGAACTCCTGACCTCAGGTGATCCACCTGCTTCAGCCTCCCAAAGTGCTGGGATTACAGATGTGAGCCACCATGCCTGGCCAGTTTTTTCATTTTCAAAGAACAGATAGTATTCTCAGTAGTTCAGAAGAAGATAAATTCAGTTCTATGGATATGCATTAGATAAAGTATTATAAACATGCATAGATTACCTTTATGTCTAAAATTAGGCACAAACAGAAAGAGCCTATATCTACATATTCTCTAAACAGGGTAGAATCAAACTTTGATGTGCTAGCTGCATTTGCTTGACTTGGATCATTTTTCTAAAAATGAAAACTTCACAGTCAAACTCTTGGATTGGTGAATGCTTCCTGAGGCCTCTTTTGCTAAGACTCCAGAAACAACACAAAGGATTTTGGAGTTAACTGACACAATTAAATTATATGAAAAGCTCAATAGTGCAAAAGATTAATAATAATATAGGTTCGTCTTAATAATATCATAAGATGTAAGAAACATTAATGTCATAAGACATTAAATCATGCCAGTGACATCACAAGACAGTGCATGATCACCTGGAAGGCTTTGAGAAGTAAGTGCTAGAAATAAGTAAGGAGACAGAAGCTTGATTGGTCTAAGGTCAGTGTGGACCTTCAACTGAATTTCGAAGCATGTTTAGAATTGGAAAAGATGAGGTATGTATGTGAGATGAGGGTTGAGGGTGAATGGTAGTGGGGGATGGATAGGGAAGGGCACGGAGTAACATTCACGGAACATTAAACTGTGTGCCAGATACTGTGGCTTGTACCTTTATTTCGAGGGTGAGGCAAGCAGCCCATGACCATTAGATGGTGTGGAATACTCTGGGATCAGATTGTTTGCATTTACTATTAGGTATGTTAGGTTTCCCTCTAAGTCTCATGATCCCCATCGGTTAAAAAGACACAATAGTAGTGTTTATTTCTAGGGTTAGATAGCTTACAAAAGCACGTAATTTATAAATGATAAATATCAAGCGCTCAATGAATGTTAGCTGCTATTATTATTGTGATGATGGTTGTTATATGGAGATCCAGGGGATAGTCTACCCTTCCTCAGAGGTTACTAATCTAGGCCTCTTTGATATTTCTTTTCTTGTGAACTTAGAACTTCTATAATACACTTTTGTTTTAAATAATCTATTATCATGTACTTTCTTTGGAAATTCCTCAAGATCAGGGATCTTTTAATATGTGATATGTCTCCCATCCCCAAAGTGTCTGGCCTACTGTTGAACACATAGGTGTGGAGTTGGTTGATTTCGCAGATTATTGCACAGGGAGATGTTACATTTTCCTAGGAGGTGTATGTTGCCTTGTGCTATTTTCCTCAACCCCACCTGACAAATAAAAGCAATTGATATAGAAGGATTCCTCCTCTTTTGACCTTGGCAGTAAATCCTAGTATTACACCAGCCATCTTAGGTGAGGTTAACCAATCCTATGATTGCAGACCAGGAGATGACATGAGAAATCTTCTTGCCTAACGTCTTTGGAGAACAAAAGTAAGGTTCAGAGAGAGTATGTTATTTGTCCAAGGTCATGCAATCTGTTGGTAGAAGAGTCAGGATTAGAATCTAAATCTCTTGTCTTCTAGTGCAATCCTTGCAGGTTTATAGCAAATGGACTCTATTACTTGATAAATTCAAAACTGTGGATATTATTCTGAGTAGTTGAGACTGCAATTTTTAAAATCTTTTATTAGATTAGAATGTGTTTATGGTTCTGAATTTAGTAAGGGAATAGTTCATTACCAGAACATCCATTACCAGACAGTCTATTAAAGTCCCAGAAGGACTTTACTTTTAAAAGGACTTAAAAGTACTTTTATTTTGTATGTAAGCTCCATGAGGATAGAGACTTAGTCTGTTTTGTTCACTCCTGAATCCCTAGTGCCTGGAATAGTGCCAGGCACACAGGAGATGCTCAATAAGTAATTGTCGAATGAATAAGTTGGCTTTGTTGGCAGTATTGATTGAGACTTCATTTGGGAATGTTTGTGACTTCCAGAGAATCTAAACCTTAAGCATCAAACTCTGGAAAGAAACCGTGGAAACACCAGGGAAACTTTGGCTACGGCAAAAAGATAAAAATGAAATGCTTCCCCCTGTGGGAAGAGAAGGATTACATGAGAGAGTATATATGAAACTTCTGGAACATTTTGGAAGAAACATACCTTATAAGTAAATGTAAGGTCAGTTGGTGCAAGAGGATAAAACATCCTCTAAGCTTCTGGCACATCTCAAAGGAATAGCTGGAAAAGATTAGCAGAATAGTTTTGGTGGTGTGTGGAATTCAGGCTTTTGCCACCTTGAAATTGTTCTATATCCTTAAGCTAATGAAAACAAAAAAGAGAAAATTCTATCTTTATAAAGAGAAGGGTCTTTGTACCTGGCTTCTTAATGTTCATGATGCTCCTCCTTCTAAGCATGAACAGTCAAGCTTCATGGGCAAGTCACCCAGCAGCCCCTGCTACCATTTAATCCATGGGGTGGGGAGGCCAAGCAGGAGTTTCCTGTTTCCTGTCCCTGATCTTCCAACCAATGAAAAAAGACAGTGATTACTAATGGAACAAAGAAGTGCCCTGAATCTTACTTTGGGTATATTGCTGAGTTATATAATCTGTGTCTGAAATGGATAAAAATACAGAAAGATCAAGTAATATGGTGAAAGAGAGCACTAATTCAAGATTAAGGAAATCTAGATTCTGTTTTGGGGCTGTCGTTTATTAGTTATGATTTGGGCAAGACCTTTGGGGTCTCAGTTATATTAGAAGTGAGATGGTCCCTGAGGTTTCTTCTAGGTCTAATATTTGCTATTTTAAAACATTTTTTAATAATCTCAAGGTCTGATCATGCTTTAAAATCTCCAATTTTCAGAATTACCAGAGTAGATGAATTTCCATCAGAGGATAAGAGAAAGAAAGATGAACATTGGTGCTTAAAGCAAAAGCAGTCAGCACTTAAGGCACTGGCTTTGACTGCCACTTCAGAATGCAGAGGTTTGAAAGATAACAAGCTGAGTCTTAGAAATTACTGAAACAATTTTAAATATTATTTATTTATTAAAAATCTTTCAGAACTAATTTGAGTAAATGATAAAGCAAAGCCAAACACAAAAAGGAGTAATTTCTAAAAGAAAGCTCACCCTTAAATATTGGCTTCTCTTGCTAAAGCCACTGTAGTCTCTTACATTTGATTCTCGTGTATTTTCCTCTAGGGGAGAGAAAAGGAGATTTTTCAAAAGGAAAAAAACCCTTTTGTTTGACTGTTCTGAAAATATCACACTCCAGAATATAAAAATGAAAGTGTGGGTTCATAGTACATGCAGGCCCTACGTGTGGCCTATCCTGAAGTGTTCTTTCTTGATTTTATGTGGCACTGGGGATGTCCTTGAGGGAAAAAATAGCCAGGGGTTTTACTTTGGTGATGAGTTATGCTAGCAGGCTTCATGTCTCACGTAAATGGTAACCTTTGCTGAGTGTAACCCTAGCTCTTTGTAAAGAGAACAGAATTAGACTCCACCAAATGAAGAGTCCAAGACCTTGGCAATCTTACCCTGGAAAGATGACAAGATACATAGAGATCAGACAAATGAACAATGATGATGCCTTTATAACATTGCCTGAATAGCTAGGATGTCTGCAGAGTTATACTGGCTTCATGGATATTATATAGGTTCAGTGGTCTGAAAAATAGGACATTAGATCTATTTCAAAGTGAACAACTGTAGAATTTGACAGTAGCTTCATTAGGAAAAAAAGAGGAAAGAGAAGTAAGGTAAGGCAGGTTTAGCAATGTACAGTATTTTAAATGTATCAAAATGTCACATTAGTGAGAATATTTTAAATTCATACAATAACCTAAACTCTGCATTCTTTTAAAATGTTTCTTAAGTTATTTTGATTTGATGGAGAGTTTATTATGCTGTTCCATATACTTTCTTTTGCTTGCCTATTTTATTATTTAGTGTTTTTGTTTCGCTTTGTTTTTAGAGACAGGATCTTACTCTGTCACCCAGTCTGGAGTGCAGTGGCATGACCATATGTCACTGCAACCTTGAACTGCTGGGCTTAAGTGATACTCCCACCTCAGCCTCCCCAGTAGCTAGGACTACTGGCATGTGCCACTATGCCTCGCTAATTTTTTTTTTTTTTTTTGTAGAAATGGAGTCTTGCTGGGTAGCAGAGGCTGGAGATTTAGTGTTTGCATGTTTATCTATCTTCTATTTGATAACAGATGCCATACTAGGTAACCTTTATTCACATAAAGATAATTAATTCAAAGTGTCCATAAAGCACCAGATACGGTGGAAGATTTTAACAATTTAATTACTTTATTTATTTATTTATTTATTTATTTATTTATGAAGAGACAGGATCTTGCTATGTTGCCCAAGCTGGAGTGCAGTAGCTGTTCACATGGGCGATCCTAGCACACTACAGCCTCAAACTCCTGGCTTCAGGCAATTCTTCGCCTCAGCCTCTGGAGCAGCTGAGACTTCAGGTGTGCGCCACCGCACCTGGCCATTTTTTATTTTTTATTACACCTAACAGGGTTGGAGGGAGAACAAATAGTTGAGGAAAGAGGTACGTGAATTAAGTCAGTAAAGGAGTTGTGAGTTTTGTGTGTATGAGATGGTTTCCATCACTTTCCGAACAAATCCAGCTTCTGCTATGGCCCACTATGGCAGTCCACAGTCACTACTGTGACTGTAGTATTAGTCCCTGCAAAAATAAATGCATCTGTTTTGTGAACATACTCAAGCTGCTCAAGAAGATGATGATATTTGACGTCAACTGAGTATTTTGGTGGTAGTTTTGAAAAGTTCTTAAGGAAGCTTGATACATGGGAAATTCTAAAGATGCATCTCACTATTTCTTCCCCAGTTGATCTAGATCATTTTCTAACCAAAGTAGATTTTAATTATTTCATATCTCTTGATGTATTAGCATACAGCCTTCACATTGGTCTCTGTTTCTTTTGTTTTCTTGCTTGCTTGCTTTTGGGAAAAAGAAATCACTTTTAAAAAATTTTCAACACATTAAACTGATGTCAAGGGTGAACTATTGTTTTCTACATGACTGGAAATTTTACTTCATATTTAGAGTTTTGTCTCGTCCCCAGTGTTTTGTCAAATTTTTTTATTTTACAAAGTGCCAAAGAGCAGGTCTGTCCTGTCATTGTTAATCATCTGTCTCTCCATGTTAGATTAAAATGCTTATTGTCCTGGTTCTCATGGTTCCTATATCTAAATTGTGTTTTTATATAAAACCATTTACTCTATGAAGTTGTTACAAAAGATGCGTTTCTATTTGAGTATCTATGTAGCTCAACCTTTACTGTACTTGTTTTCTTGTTGTCAAAGTCCACATTGTTCATGGCCTTTCTCAAACAGCTTCTCCATCAAAAGATATGATGCCTGTCATGAGTTATTAATGTTACTGCTTCTTTCCCTTGATACTGAAATCCTAGTGGAATTAGAAACAACTGGGACGTATCTTTAAAATCTTACTCACTGGAGGGCTCTTCTGGGGCATATGGTCTTTCTCCTGTGGCTTGATGTTTTAGGTCAGGAATTTGAGAAGAGCTGGCTGAGCAGTTCATCTCTGATCCAAGTGTTGACAGCTGGGACTAGATAATGCATTTCCCAGATGGTTTCTTCACTCACATGTATAGCACCTTTGTGCCACCTTGATCAGTTCACCCCACTCCCCAACTTGGTGTCCCATCCTTCAGGGATCTCCATGTGGCTTGGGCTTCTCACGGGATAGTGACCTCCTGGTAGTAGATTTCTCACATGAAGGCTTAGAGCACCAAAATAAAATGTTCTAAAAACCATCTCTTAAAGATTATCTTTCCCCAATTGTTCTTGTGACAATAGAGGAACTAACTTTAAAAGACCCAATTTGTAGAATTCTTTATAAAAAATTCAGGCCTTAGGGTTCAAATACTAAGATAAAAAGTTGAATGATGTGGCAAGCTACTTTTCACTTGTTTTGTTAGGGAACTTTCAAATTTTGCTAAAAATTGTGTTTATGAGCTTTTTTCTTATTTGAGGGTGAAATGTTGAAATTGAACTAGCCCTAGGGCAAAGGAGAGGAAGAGTGATGGTGGGGGGCCCATAGGCCAAGTGAGTAGTCTACACTGCTTCCTGGGTCTCACTCTCTAACACTTGTAGTGGTCATGCTGATGAGAGATGACAGGAAAAAAGTTTCCTAGAGTTAAAAGCCTTCCTGTCCCGGAAGCAACAAACAACTTTGAATCCAACTTTTGGCAGAACTGCTAATTGACATAGTTAATATTTTGCAAGCTCTCCTCACCTCTTCTGTCTGCCCCTCCCCAAAATCCTTTCCTACACACACATTATAGTGTTTTCTTTGTTTAGAACTAGCCCTGCAAACCTATCACTTCCTCAAGCCCACATCAAAACTGACTTGTTTTATTCTAATCTCTAATAGACTGGTTCAAAGACACACATTTCTCCATAAACACATTTCACCCCTTCATTTGTCTTTAGGAAGAGCCATTGCTTTAACCCCAATGGTACCCTCTCCAGTGGTGGCATTCTGAAGCAGAGACATCATCTTAGAGGTAGGGGAGATTAGATGTCTTTTACATCCTGCTGAATGCAGAAGAGACTTTGATATTTAACCCTCAAATTTTTATTTCCTTTGACATGTCACCTAAAGTAGGAAGAAGATGTTTGTCTTGTTTTTGTTTTTGTTTGAAACGGGGTCTCACTTTGTTGCCCAAGCTGGAGTGCAGTATTACAATAATATAACTCACTGCCTTGAACTTCTGGGCTCAAGTGATCATCCCTCCTCAGTCTCCCGAGTAGCTGGACTATAGGCGCATGCCACCATGTTCAGCTAATTTTTAAACTTTTTTTGTGGACATGGACTTTTGCTATGTTGCTTGGGCTGGTCTTGAACTCCTGGGTTCAAGCAGTCCTCCCATCCCTCCGTCTCAGAGTGTTGGGATTACGTGTGTGAGCCACTGTGCTCAGCCTATTTGTCCTTTTTGATGCCACTGGGTTTAGTACATTTTTGTGTTATAAAATCATGCCCAATTTTTAAAAGGGGCTATTCCATTTCTGTTAGCCATACATACATGCACACAGTTATTGCCCAGAGGAACACTGTGTGCATAAGGACAGCTAAGACCCCATACTGTCATTAGCTGGGAGTCAGGTTACCTCCCACATGGACAGTGTCATGTGCTAGAGATGTGTGCAAGTAGAAGAGTCCTAGAGAGGAGAATCTGTAGCATTAAGTGGGCTTTGCAAATTTAAAAAAAAGAAAAAAAGATCATTCACAACAACCCTCTCTGACCTCAATTTTTAATAACTGTGAAATGGAGTTAATCACCTAGGCACTGTACTAACCACTTTATATACGTAATCTCATTCACTCCTCACAACAACTCCAGTATCTAGGGATATTATTATTCCCATTTTAGAAGAAAGGAAACATAAGCTTAGAGGGTTTACACAAATTGCCCAGAGTCACATGGCTAATAAGCTGTGGAGCCAGAAATAAAATCTACACAGTTCATCTCTAGAGAAGAGAGATCTTCCTTCAAGTACTTCCTTGACCTGTGTGAGTAAATCTCATAATGCGTACTTCTTGGGAAATAGGAGGAAAGGGGACCTAGGCTGTAATGAAAAGCCTGAAGTTCTACTTTATTTATTTATTTATTTATTTATTTATTTTTCTGTCTAGATGAACCTTTAGTTTTACACATGTTCTTAAAGTCCAGACTTCTTCTTTTTTTAAATTATACTTTAAGTTCTGGGATACATGTACAGAATGTGCAGGTTTGTTACATAGGTATACACATGTCATGGTGGTTTGCTGTATCCATCAACCTGTCACCTGCATTAGGTACTTCTCCTAATGCTATCCCTCCCCTAGCCCCCATCCCACAACAGGCGCTGGTATGTAATGTTCCCCTCCCTGTGTCCATGTGTTCTCATTGTTCAACTCTCAATTATAAGTGAGAACATGCAGTGTTTGGTTTTCTGTTCCTGTGTTAGTTTGCTGAGAATGATGGTTTCCAGCTTCATCCATGTCCCTGCAAAGGACATAAACTAATTCTTTTTCATGGCTGCATAGTATTCCATGGTGTATATGTGCCACATTTTCTTTATCCAGTCTATTATTGATGGGCATTTGGGTTGGTTCCAATTCTTTGCTATTGTGAATAATGCTGCAATAAACATACATGTGCCCGTGTCTTTATAGTAGAATGATTTATAATCCTTGGGGTATATACCCAGTAATGGGATTGCTGGGTCAAATGGTATTTCTGGTGCTAGATCCTTGAGGAATCACCACACTGTCTTCCACACTGGTTGAACTAATTTACACTCCCACCAACAGTGTAAAAGCATTCCTGTTTCTCCACATCCTCTCCAGCATCTGTTGTTTCCTGACTTTTTAATGATTGCCATTCTAACTGGCGTGAGATGGTATTTCATTGTGGTTCTACTTTATAAATAGGCTTTGGGTTTGGGAGGACTCTCTTAAGGATATAAACAGAGATTTCCACCAATAACCTTTTCATATGCAGGACTCTGGCTCAGAAACTTAAGTCTGAGAATGGTTTATGTTTATTGCTTAGATATATAAGAAGATATATGTGGTATTACAGTTAGTTGAACTAGACAGTGTATAAAAAGCCGTTTACAAAATATGAGAGAGATGCCTGATAAATGTGTTGATTCAATTTTTTGGATGTGAAATAGCTTTGGGTTAAAGCCCCAAGACTCACATCAGAGGCCTTGCCAGAGACAGAACTGAAACTATGTTCAGGAAATAAAGATATTTACCATACCCAAAGGGCAAATTCTCAGTAGGTCCAGCTGCCTCACTACAGAAAATGATGTAATGACACCTCACTGCAGTTCTCTCAGCATCAGGCAATACATCCATGTAACAAACCTGAACGTGTTCCCCTGAATCTTTAAAAAAAAAAAAAAAGAGAGAGGGAAAGAAAAATAAACAAATT